CGAAGAGCAGGGGAAGGGGCTAGAACTGAGGGGGAAACCTAGAAAACACCTGGTATCTGGTTATGAGGAAAAATAATTAATCTATTTCTGCTAAGGAAAAATGTATTTAGATTTTTAGGGTTCAAATTCCTGCACTGAAAATCATCCTCAGAAACCTTAACTCCAGGACTTCAAAGCCTGAAAGCAAGTATCTAGTTAGGGGTCCCTCGGGCACTAGACAAGCAACAAGTTGTTTGGTTTTGGGTTGGTTTATTTTTTTTTTTATATTTTTTTGTAGGTTTTTTGGTTGCCATTTTAGCCAAACATCAATAATTTCAGAGATTTGAATTGTGACTACTATGCTTATCCAAAGCTTTATGACCCCAAACCACCTCTTCTTCGCTTTAGAGGAAAACCAGACAAATCCAGCACCAGACCTGGGGAAGAAAGAGGAGTGAGATCCTCACAGGGTGTTCATGCCCAACACCTGAGATTCCACAGGATCCAGGCTTCACCAAACCCGTGCCTTTGCAAAAACACATATTTGGGCCCAAATCCTGCAGCGTATCCTAAATCTAATCCAACTTTACTCAGCTGTGTTTTAACTCCCATAGCCTGAGAGGAAACTTAGGAAAAACCTGTCATTCACCATTCTTGCATGTACAGTTAAACTCCAGAAAAAAAAATCTGTCTTTACAGAACCAGAGCTTGCTTTATCTGTCAAAATTTACAAAAAAAAAAAAAAATTCTTGCACGTACAGTTAAACTCCAGAAAAAAAAAAATCTGTCTTTACAGAACCAGAGCTTGCTTTATCTGTCAAAATTTACAAAAAAAAAAAAAAAAAAAAAAAAAAAAAAAAAAAACCAAAACCAAAAAAAAAACAACAAAAACCACAAACTGACTTTTCAACAGGATTATTTTTCCCTCTAGTTTTTATTTTTCATGCAGTTTGATAGAGCTCAGATTTTCAGCTTTGGCTTTTTCTTTCAGCTTCCCTTTCTCCCCTCTCTTTTCACTCACGCTTTCCTTGCCACCCTTTTCCATTTTGCTTCTGAAGAAAAGAGAGAAGGGGGAACTGCAAACCCACCCAATCACCAAATTTCTTTCTAATGGCCTGAAGTGAAATGAATACATAATTTATTTTTTTTTTTTTCCCTTGCAAAACAGGAGGAAAGGCTATTCATCCTCCCTGGGACCTGGGGGAACTTACCGTCTTGCAGGATGAGCTCAGTGCTTTGCAAAATTATCTAAACAGTGGGTACAATACAAGGTGGGTCCCAGCCAGAACTCCGGATATGAGCACTTTCCATCCCTGTAGGGGAGCTGGGATTTCAACATCGGGGCTTGTTCCTCGCTGTTAGAACTGGAAGCCCAACACCCCTGAACATCAGCGAGGTTCAACCCCAAGGGCAGACATCTCCCGTCAGACTCCGCTGAGAAGTGACAGGAAGTCCTGGGACACAAGATCTTGGTGCCTGGGAGACGGAACAATCAATGAAAAATAAAAAACTATCTTCAGGACCAGAGCAAAGGCACTTGGAAAGCCCTTTGCTGTCTCTCCATTGATAAAGACGAAGCCTTTTTGTGCGGAATTCCTCAATATTGACTGCTCTGGCTACACTTCTGAACAAGGGTGCCTAAAGTGAGATTTCTGATGTTCTTTCTGGGTCTCAGCTCAAAGCAAATACAACCCACATCCCCAGGAGCTGAGTGTCACTGCAGAACACACCCAGCCCCCTGTAAAGGCTAAACTCAAACAGCCAGGCTTTGTCCAGCCCAGCTCAGTCCAAAGCAAAGGGGAAGAGTGACTCAATTCTTTGCATTTCAGCCACAAGTCCAAAAATAAGCCCAAAAGAGAAAAATCTTAAAACAAGAAGAAAAGCAAGACTTGCCTACCAACAATGGCCGAGATAAGTATGCTCAATTCTGCTAGAATTTGTAGGTTTTTTTTTCAAGCTGCAGATGTAACACAGAACAGAAAACATGTACGAAAAGATTTGGTCGAGAAAGGATTCAAATGGTTTTACCATTTATCCCCTGCTGTTTTCTCTCCAGCCAAACACACGCGTTCTGAACGTGCTTTCCATGAACATTCAAGAGATTATCAGGAAAGTCAGTGAAAGTAATTCCTTGTGAGTATCAGAGAGCACTTCAAGAGCTAATTTTGCACTTAAATAATCACATTGAAAAAGAAGATGCTAAGATTGCTACTCATCCAAAAGAGGAATCAAAACATCTTCAGTGTCTTATGGACTCATTAAAAACTAGCCCAGACAGCTAGAGGATTGCATTTTCACCCAGATTGACTCATAAGTGATTAGAATGGGATTAACAACAGCAAAAAAAAATCCCAGAAACTTTTCCCACTGTAAAGTGGGGCTGAGTCAGAAACAATTATTTTCACCTGGGAAGTGGGAAACATCATTTTGTAAAGCTTATTTTACTCTTTGCTGGAAAATGACCAGCTTTGCTTTGCTTGTGATTTAGAAACGTATCTTCAAAATTTTGGAAATTTTGTGTTTTCATGTTTCTCCGTTTCATTGAATAGCACAAAAAACCAGCACACGATTTCTTATTTCAGGGCAAGAAAGTAATTTTCTTCCCTGTTTCTACTTTTCGTTCCCTCCCTGCCACGTACATCTATCAAAATTACTCACATTTGACAAATCCTCTGTCTGTCAAATGCAAAAAACCCAAAACCAAACAAAACAAAATCCCCACAACCCCCACATACATTATCCCTTTTATGGAACATATTTTCGGTTGAAAGGAAGGCCATATACTAAAATTTCCAAATTTTTTTTTTAAACACACCTCTGAATTTTTATTTTTTTTTTTTAATTCACTAGAAATACTTTCACTTTGAACTCAGAGAAGTTAAAATACCTTTGACACCTTCCCTGACAGTCAGCATTTTACGTTTCTGGAATGAACTGCACACAAAGTTTCATTTAATGAACTATTCAGGCTTCCAAATCAACCTCGGAGAGACTCTCTCAGACTTTTTTTTGCAATCTGATGGTGAAATCCATTAGACAAATTATTTCCAGTAAATTGCTCTCTTCACCCTCACCAAGTCCTACCGCATTTAAGACTTGTGGAAACATTTGACTTCGAGATAACAGCACTGTTGCTACTATCCAAGAACAATAGAGGCTGATTATAGATTTCATAGACCAGCTAATCTCATTCCTGTATAAACAGGCCATAGGCCTTTTTAAAATTAAACGCCATTTTGAGTCCAATAGATATTCTGGAAAGAAAAAGGGAAAAAAAAAAAAGACATCAATGCACAAAGAATGTGCAACAACATACTGTATAACAACTCCAGCCAAGTGCCAAAATCCTGCCCTGCCACCCTTGCCTCTCACAAGTATGCCAGGGCACAGGGAAGGAAAAATGGTTCGAAGACCAACAAATTTTGATGCATTTGAATGGCAAAGGAAAGATGTCGTAGCTCACAGCCTGGGTTTTCAACTCAACAGGCAAGAGGAAAATCTTTTATCCCATTTGCATCTTTCTGTGCCATTAAAAAAAAAAAAAAAAAAAGAGCTAAATGGCACCAACCGCCGGGGATTTTCAGTTTCTTGCAAAGGAGCATTGCCCAACTCTGGTGAATTTTTTTTTTTTTAAATTTTTAGGTCCAAACCTGTAGATGCCTCTTCAAAGCAGATTACTGTGTATTAAGTACTCACAATACGCAGTGTCTGGGGCAACGTCCCACTCTCAGCTGGAGTTTCGCCACGTACATATTACCTGATGTGGATGCATGTGCCATTGCAGAGCTAACGCAGAGGTGGAATTAAAGTTTTCCAAACACTGTTGAGCAAGAAACTGGGAAAAAAATAAATCTTTTCTCCCCCCTCAACACTCCTTGGATAAGTCGCTTGAAAGTCTGATGACTGCTGCTTTCTCCAGGGTTTGTTAAAATAGAAAAACCTAGCCCAGAAAAGTCTGTCTAGCATTCTGAAAGAGGAACAACAACAACAACTGGTTTATTTATATATTTAATTTTTAATTAAAAAATAAAGGTTATCTTAATACATCTCTTGCAGCCTTTGGGCAAAATGCACCCTTGACAACACTTAATGAAACATGATGCACATCTATTCTTGGCACACATCTTAAACAAACGTGAACTTTCTGCAGCAACTTCTTAAATCCATCATTCTCCCAAAACCCTGAAAACATTTAAATGTTCTTTAAAAAAAAACCCTACAAAAATTAGACGTGGGCCCAAAGCAAAAAAATCCCAGATCCAAGCATCCCAAAGCTTTTGGACCAGACTCAAATCCAAACCCTCATCTCATTCGAAGTTTTTATCCCGGATCACTGCAAATTCACAGACACGGCACCCAAACAACCAAGAGAGATGAAATCTGAATGCTGACCCGGCTACGAATCTCACTTCGGAAGCTTTGATCTTCACACAAAGCAAACCTATGGGTCTGAACTCCTTCCTAAAACTCTTTGAGTTGGGCCCATCCCTAGCAGAAATAAGTGCTGGTTCCACGATGAAATGGAGCTATCAGAGCTCCCCATTTCTCAGCTGTCCCCGGTCTGAGACCAGCCCGAGTTCTCGGTCCATTCGCACTACTTTAAAAGGCAAGGGTAAAGTCAAGCGAACACACTGAACCCTCCAACACGGTCCTACCACTACACAATCGCCTCTCGCAGGAGCCCCGGACTTCTCCTGGACTTGCCAGGAGCTGTCACAGGTTTCCAGACGCGGTTTTCTCTGGAAACGCGCTCAGGCCTCCGTCACTATCTGCGGGAAGCCTTACACACGCTGCCAGAGGGACGGGTCATCATCGCTCACACGGGATGTCTTTGTTCTGCTGTGGCCCATGATGGCTGATTCCCAAAGGCACAAAGTGACCAATCTTTAGACTTACACACGAGGTCTACATATATATATATTTATATATATATGTACACACACACAATTACATACATATTTAAATATATAT